AAAAAGCCAATTTTTATGTTTATAAAATATTTTGAATGAAAAATATTAAAATATGTACAAAATAAACCATTTTGAACACACTTTTTTATTATTTATAAAAAAAAATATAGTTCTGGCATAAACAATGTTAAATTTTAACTGACTTAATTTTGCGAACGCATCTTTTTTTATTTATATGGATATCTTAAGGTCAATTTTTGCGCTAATGTTGCTAATGCACCATTTGAGCGAAAAAAAAAAAAAAAATTGTTAAGGAAAAATTTTCTGTTAGCGAACACTTTGTTAAATATTTCGATTATCACCACTGATCATGCCTCTTGTAGCATGATTGTGTCTGGACAGGAAGGAATATAAAAACTTTTAAAAAGTTTTTATATATTACTTATTTGTTACTGAGTTTTATGATTGTATTATTTATTTATAGCGACTTTGTTTCATTGTAATGTGTTTTATGCCCAGAAAGATATTTTAATATTGTAAATAGAAGTACCATATGAGTGTAACAGTTTAGCTTGGGAGAAAAAGTGGGTGAAGTTCTTAAAGGTATTATAAAAGTGTTTCCTTGTGTTACTTGACATTTCTACTCATGTTGTTATATTTGTCAACTCAATGTCTGTAATGTGTACTTCCTGTAGCACTGAAGAGGGACTAGAAAAATAAAACTAGCCCGAAATGCATATGTGAAAATACAATAAAGGAGTTTCTTAACCTGACTTGCTGTAAGAGTCTACCGAAGGAATTATTTTGGATTAAAGAGACAACCATTCACTATACAAACTTGTGCTAACCTTGTATAACTTTAGTGTTACGTTCTAAGTATTATCTATAATGTTTTCAACCCATTTGTAGGGTCTTTTTCAGGTGTTCTATAAATTTTTCTTCTGTGATATGAGTTCAATTCAGATTTTTAAACGTTCCAATCACAAATGTTTCCATCTTCAAAAATTTATTTTTTAAAATTTCAAAATTTAAATCTGCAAGGTTAGTGTGACATATTTATATTTATTATTGCTTTGTTTGTTGGATGGATTTGGTTTATACAAATGCATTTCACTTGTTCCAGTTGTTTGTCACCCAGCTCAATAATGCAATCCATTTGCTCACCTTACATTTAAACACAATCTTAGTGTTATCAAATTCACTCACAACATATATTCATCACAAGCTCTTCTATGCTCTCTTCTAACAATAGTGTTATCACAGCATACAACAAATTACAAACTTGTTCATTCCCAATTATCATTTCACACTCGGGTATTCTGGATCTCCTTTGTTAACATTAAACAACCATGGGGACATACTCCATAATTGATTAACATTAATACATTCTTACACCATCCTCAATCATGAACCACACATAAACATATTTGCTGTTTACATACATCATTCTCTCACCTCTAAGTTGTTTACCACTCACTCCATAATCGCATAATACTTGCCAATTTCTCCTTATTCATTCTCTCTTCTAGATCAACAAATACTGCAAAAACAAATGTTTGAATGTGGGTAAAAAAAATATTTCTCTACAGTCATTCACAATCTGAAGATCTGGTCCACACACACCCCTTCCCTTCCATAAATTTCTATGTTTTGCAGTTAGCTTCTCAACTCTGCAATCAACATTTATGTAAATACTTTTCCAGGTATACTCAGCAAGTTTATGCCACAGAAGTTCTTGCAGTCTGTCCTTTCACCCTTTCCCTTGTATTGGAACAATCATGGCATTTCTCCAAACTTATGTTCAAATATGAGTATGGTGCCATAAGTTTCAGAATCGGTGCATCCATTCTTCCATATTTTAACATTTCTGCAGCCACATCATTAATACCAGGAGACTGCCATTTCACATTCCTAACCTCAATCAAAAGAATAGAACCACATCCATCACTATTTTCATACATCTCTATGAAGTATAAGAATGATTAGATCACCACGCTAAAATATTATCCATTAAAACAAAAAATTAGAATGTTTAAATGCCCATAGACAGTAGTTATTATCAATACAAGCACTTTTGACATTTTATCAACATCATCTTCAGGCAAAGAACATAACTTTGAAAATACATATTCCATTTCCAAATATTTAACCCACAACAGCTCACCATTTGCACTTTTTACACAAGTTATACTTTTCTTTCTTTTGCCACATATACTCTTCATTTGCTTCCAGAATAGTTTTCTATTTTTCTCAAATGCCCTTTGCAAATGCTTAGTTCATTCTGTACTCATCCTCAATCACATGCCATTGCATACATGGGCAGACTAAATGTTTTTCTCTTTCACTGCTTGCTCAACTCTGTCCTAACACCATCTCCACATCACTCAATTCCTGATTTACGTTCACCAGTTTCAGTTCAACATTTCTCTATACTTGTCTTTTCTACTTATCAGGCACTGTGTTTTTATTCTCTGTAGAACCACTCTTTTCCTCTTGTTCTTTCATCCAATCTTCAGTTGCACTCTATACTATTAAGTAATGGTATGAGCCATAGTCAGCTTCTCTCATAATTCTTGTATCGTCCACATTCACAACCCCAACCCAGAGGACCAGCATCTCTCAATCTGTTATCGTACGCAACAAAATCTATTATGCTCCTCTAACCTGATGAATGGTCTTGTGTAGAAGAAAGGTGCTAGATACCTGTAGGTCTGTTTCCGCACAAAGCTCAACTGACTCTGTATGGAAAGAATTCTATTATTATTTGCCATATAGACTCGGGCACTCTCTGACGTCTCTCTTCACACCCACCAATCTGCACATATCTGCAGTTTGAATCATATGCTCCAAGAGTCACACTCATCAGAAACATCTAGTAACTTTCTCAAAACTCGTCCTTTTCAACATCTACAGCAGTATCCGCTGGGACTTACACAATGACAACAACAACTCAATGACTCTGCATCTTCACTTTGAAGTGCACCCACATCTGTCTTTTGTTTCCTTGCATATATTCCTTCATTAGTGAATTTAATTAAAACACCTATTCCTGCACTTGCTTGCTCTGTCTCTTGCATGCCGGACCAGATCGACACATTCCCATTCGTGTCCATACATTCCTTGCCTTTCACTCGCTCCTTTGTCTCACTTACGCAAACTACATTAACTTATTTTCAGTCATTTCCCTTATTAATTCTTCCACTTTACCTCTCACTCCTCTTACATTCTACACCCAATCAATATTTATACTACTGCTTTCTTTTTCTCATTAGCCTATTCCGGTCCCGTCGCTTCCTAGTCGAGGGATAATTCTCGAGGTCGGGATCACCATTACTCCCAGACCCTGCCCCCCTGTTGAAAGTAAATTTTATCTGGTGGGGTGATGGGCCCATTCACAACCCCAACCCGGAGGACCAGCAATCCCACTTTAGTCTCTCATCCTCCGACCCTTTCGGCACAGGTATCCTAATCGGTAGCAAAGCCGTCGCAGACATAGCTCACGGAACCTAGAAAGGGTGCCGTCTCGCTCACGGCATCAAGGTGATCTTGGAGATGCTTTACATTTAAATATTAAATTAGCCTTAATATATCCCAATAAATATTCTAGCAGATCATTTAACAATAGTAATTGAATTGAATTGTTGTATGTTGTTACAGTAGTCTCCGAATCCTAAATTCTATTTGTTGGTAAAAAGGTTTGATAGTTTATAACTGTTTTTTGGACTAAAATGTTTACGCGTTTAACAAATGAGGAAGAAAGTGGAAGTAACTTGCCACGACTAAGCGATCGGTGGCCGATTCTCATTGGTTAATGCCCGAGTCGATTCTTTTCGTAGCGTGAATGTTAGCAAATTACGCGTTTAAAACTTCTAAAGTATTATATCGAAACAAATAATAACAGCATTTTCTTTTGTTTTCCAGAGTCGGATTCCGAACTCCGAAGACACGTTGAAATTACAGAACGGAAAGAACGAAACGATTTAAATCTGGACTTTCCGAAAATCCCACTTAGAATTCGACCGGAGTGGGAACGACGAAATTTCGACGGTTTTTTTTCTTTGTTTTTTTCCGACGTCATTAGTTACGGAAATTATTTTAAAAGGTTTAGGCCGCGTGCAAAACCCGAATTCGGACGGTCGTCCTTTAAGGTATTGTTTTATCGTTATTATGACGGAAAAATAAATCCGAACCCACAGTAGAATGGAAAAAAAGGTAAACCCCAAACTTATTTTTCACAAGGACTCGTCCCGTCCGCAACCGGATATTAATTACAAATAACACATTACAATAATAATAATAAATTACAATACAAATAATGGAAATGGCTTCGGAATCGGCGGATTTCACAGCCGTTTCGATTATAGATATTTGACCGGTGGCTATCCAGTCATCGATAGCCACCGGCCAAGTCAAAGAATTTATTTTGTGGAACGTATAATCTTACCGACCGACGACGGCCGTCTCCGCACGTTATTTACGGAATACCAAAAGTACATTTAAGAGCCACCTCCGAATATTTCGGAAAGTCACTATTTTATTCATATGTTTATTTAACTATTATTGATTTGTATATATATATATACGTTTAATGTAAACGTCGGGAAATGATGGGGCCGTTTCGCGTCGAGAGATTGGTCGAGACGCGAGCTTTTAAATTATAAACGGTGGGGGACCGGCGGGTCGAGCGCCCACTTCCCGGGAATGGAGTTCGAATACCCTTAAGAGTGGCTTCCGTGCCCAGACGAAAAATAAAAAAAATTATTTCCGAAGAAACAAATTACGGATAAACGACTATTTTCGGTAGCTTAAATAATTAAATGGTATTTTTAATGGCCTCTCTCCGATACTAAATCGGTTCGGTCGAAGTTATGTTTAAAAATGCATACATTAATTCTTCCGCAAATTAGAAAACTTAAATTTACCGGTACGGACCGATTACTTCCTAAAGAAAAATTCAAATCTTGGCTAAGGGGTATTTTAAAGTAGTTCGTCCTACACATGTATAGTACGTAATATTTTGCCACACGTTTTAAGAACGTATAACCACTAATTTAAGTAAATATCTATTTAGAAGCTAAAAAAATTGCCTGGTAAAATCGCTCCCTGTTCGAATAATAATAACTAGACGGCCTAAAGGACGGTTATTTATTATTAGGTAGCGGTTATTCTTACCAGGGACGCCGCGACGGCCGTATATTTTTGGCCGGGCTAATCTCCCGGACTAAATATAAATGGAATGACCCTATAAATAATCCGCACGTGCGATCGTTGGTATAAGGTGTTGGCAGATTTTCTTACCCTTTTACGTTATACGAATATCGCGCGTAAACCGGTGGCCAAACGTCGTCTCCGTCGAGTTTTTTCGTTTAATTTAAAAATAAGACGGAACGGTTAGGCAGGCGATCGTATTTTAAATATGATGTCGGGCGACCGAAGGTTCTCGAGTAATTGTACTTATATTTCTGTTGTATAATTTTCGTTGGAAAGAGATGTACGGAATATTTCGTAAATCCCTTGTACAGTTTCTATATATACATATTATATTTGAATAAGAAATAAAAATATATGGTTCCGACCCCGTCTTTCCGGTTTCCGCCTTTATTCTGTAAAGCAGTAGCCGCAAACTGACGGCTCGCGGCCTCGGTGATTTATTTTCTAAAAATCGATGTTTCTAACATTTTGCGAGAATTATAATGGGAAAAAAATCAAACTTCTGTTTACGTAAGTCATAAAGGCCTGGTAACAAAATAGCCTTTGTTAAAGTCTTTAGTTTAAGGCATGTTTTGGTTTACCGCGAAGGTTTCCAACTTATTTTTATCACGGAACCCTTTTCACCTTAATAAAAAATGTTGTAACCCTGTAAATATCAACGAATTAAAACATACTAGTTAGCTACTTTACACCGAAACCGATCCCTAGACTAAAATAATCCTCGTGCGCTAGAAAAATTACACCGCATCCCAAATCAGCATTGGCACATTCGTACATCACTAGACTTAACGGAATTTATTGCGGAACCCCAAATTTTTATGGTGGAATCCCAGGGTTGGGAACCCCTGGTTTACCGAACAGTAATGAATGCCAGCGGGCGTCTGATAGACGTCTATTTGACTGGCCCTTCGCTGCGTTCGAGTTTGAGATTCCCAGTTTAGACAGTTAAGGCAATAGCAAGATTCGACACGTCATAAAAGTGGGCGCGGACTCAGACGCCAGAAGACTACGCGTAAGAGTCGATAAACTGTTATTAGACAATTAATTTGTGAATTCTTCCATGCATTTACAGTAGAGCGTCATTTATCCGAAAGAATTCCAGTCTGCAAATTTAAATTTTCGCTAGTGCTGTGGCGCTGCAATTTTTGGCTATATGTTGGGCTACTCCAATATTTTCTGTGTGTGTGTTTTAGCTGGCAGCACTGGAACTTTTATATGGTGTGTTTCTGAAGACTGTCCTGCTGAATCCAACGTTTTTGATATTATATTAACTTCTAAAGTATATTTTTTTATACAGTGGGTGATCGGTTAACGAACACTTTCGCGAAAGATTTTTATGATCGGACAACGAACACATGTTCGGATAACGAACACTTGACTGAACAAACACAAAAAGAAGAGACGTAAAATAACGAATACCGATTGGTCTTCCTTTGTCTTCAGGCAACAATTCAAAACTTTTCGGAGCGCGGGAGACGTCGACATCGACGTTCTACCCAGTATATACTGATAGGATAGTATTCTCCCGAACTTTGAAACTCTCCCTTGTAATTCCAGCTTTTTATATTTCTGACAGAAACAATTCTTTTACATTTTCTTATGAAAATGCGGATTTATGCCGATATCTGCTATTAAAGATCTTTTAAAGAAGTGGGAGGACGTTGTTCTGACAGAACAACGGTCTTAAAATGGCATCCAAACCAGGTTGAGGTTAATAGGCCTAGGGTTCTCTACAATTACAATGCTATTAATTACTTCTGAAAAATCATAAAGAAGACAGAAAAGCAATCGACATTGGACAGATTCTTTAATTAATTAATTAACCCCCACAAACGGAAAAAACATGACTAATAAAAATGCAAGACCGTGTATATATGTATTTTAATTATTACTTATAAATAAACGTAATAAGAAAGTATAGTCTATATTTTTAATTTTTTGGAGGTCTCCAGAACGAATTAATCAAATTCCCATAGAAACCTATGGTAAATCGATAATCGGTTAACGAACAAAGTCTTGGAACGGATTATGTTCGTTAACCGATCACCCACTGTATTTATTTTGTTTGTAAAAAATAAAGAAATAATTTTTAACGATACAATAGCCACGATTATTATTTTAAAAAGTTTACGTTAGGCTTAACATCGACGAAAATTCAACGCGAAGCGACACGCAACGGAGAAAATTTTCAACACGGAATAGGATAATATATTTTGTCGTACATAATCGGTTATCCGAACAACCCCAGTCCCCAACTGGTTCGGATAATCGACGCTCTACTGTACTTTCGTCTACAGGTATATAGAGCTTCTAGTGTTATGTATACAGGTAATTCTTGATTTATGCGGTTAATTAATCCCTCGATGCTAGCGCGTATATCAAAATCGCAATAATCAAATACGGTAGCTATGTTAAGTAAAGACTACTGTTAAACTCGCGTATATAATGGGATTGCCGCAATTAATTTCGCGCGTTAATCAAATTGATTGATTGACAAACAAAATTAGTGACTGCTCGCGCAAGTTCAAAAATAATTTTACACCAAGACTCAACAAATATATAAAATACTACGGATACTAGGGAGCGCAACTCAATCAAACATCAGGATCGTTGGTGGATCGAACCGGTCTACGGTATGGCGTGAATGAGGTTCGATTCTCTCTCTTTAATATGAACTACCTGTATAGTAACTTGGAACCCCTACGCGTTGCGGGAAAAACTAATGACACTTTTGGAATCGATCTGTTTAAGTTAACGGCAAACCACGAGGTCTCGTCTCTGTTACGAAACGTTTTTTAAATTTTGTAGACAATAAAATTTTTAGATACGATTAATAACTATTGTGGGTCGGTGGCGCATCCTGGAACCCTCCACAGATAATGGGGAAAAAATAAAACATTTTAAAAAAATTTTCTAATTAAAATTCATTTTTTTATTTATGTTGCGTGTCGTCTTCTACTTTTAGGATGGAAATATTATTGAATTGGCATAAATTGTTTTTGTCCCGACTCGGCTACTTCGAGGTTAAATTGAAAATGGCACGCTTTGTGTCACTTCCGGTGCAGCGAGACAACGATTCAGCAACACCATAGCGTGAACTAGTGTAGTGTTGTCGCTTTTCAGCGTATTCAGTTGTCTCTGTTCCATTGTAACACAAGAGTGAACTGTGGCAGTACACCATTATTGTTTTTGCAAATTTGTATGTGTGTTTCTGTATATATTTGTATATATCATTCTTTATTTTATATTTTTTTTTGAGTCGCGAAAAAAATCACAATCATAAATAGGGTCGTGAATAAAAAGAAGTCTAAGAAGCCCTGATCTAGACGACCGAATTATAAACGAAAGGCAAAGTATTAGCTGAAAACAATTATTTTTTAAATAAAAATTCTAACTTGGTTTACTAAAAGTGTACGGTAAATTACGAGAAAAATTACATCCGTATTTTAGAAGACGAGTTACATATGCTATAATTTTTAATCAATCAATATATTCACTTTAATTGTAAAATATAATAACGGGAAACATTATTATTAGGCCTATTACAAAATTCCGAAAGAAAAAAATGCTACTAAATAGTTTCGTTATCGTCCTTACTCTCCATAGAATAGAGTTTGCGCACGACGTATTTTACGTTACGTTATATATAAACACGTGACGTTAGATGGCATATCAGAAAACTAAAACTTTACCACAAACAGTGTAGACTAGTACTGATCCGAGAACCATGTTTTAAAGTAATTTAAAGAGGGTTAATTAAAACCACTTTAATTATGCATAAAATAAGCGTTAAATAGTAAAAACAAAAATCCAGTATATAAACTGCTTTATCTAACAACATAAAATATTTAAAAGAAATCTCTACTAGTAACCCGATAATGTATTTTCCAGTTTCACTAAAACTGTTACTTCAGAAAATGCAACACGTTCGCATTGAATAACAGTACTGTATATGCAGAAAATAGCATTATTTGTATCAAAATATAAATTTATAAAAGCAATAATAATTATAAAATACTGTATGCATTAAATTTCAGTCCAAGTTTTCTTATTGAATATATTTAAGCAATCTTGTATGCTTATGTTTCTGCTAAAGAAAATATCAACTAGAAGAGGAAAATAATTTTCATGTAGTCTTCTAAGCAAGTAACCAATTATTATTATATTACAAATCTCACACTGCAGAAATCTTCGCAATAATTAATAAATATTAATAATAATATAATTAATATAAATGTTTTTGAATAATAATTAACTAGTAAATATTTCTTATGATGATATCTGGTTCCTGTGATAAACATTTTTTTAAAACTGAAAAGCAATGTTTAATGTCCTAAAAACATTTGTTAAAAAAAGCTTCTAAAATGTAAGGAGATCTCGTTTTTTCTTAATGTACATTAAGCTGAGTACTGTACTGTACATCATCAAACAACAAAATGTCACCTTAGGACAGAAGCCTTGACAGAAGGCTTTTTAATTGAAGAAATGCTGCCTTTTTTTAAATTCATAATACAATTTGGAAAAAAAGTCCGATTACTTTTCAATCAGCTTTCGTATTTCCATTAAATGAATATAATTAAACGAAAATAATAATATTTTCATAAGAAACTTAATACATTTCGCTACTTCGTGTAACAAAATATTTTAATTAATTTATTTATTAAAAATTATAACTTCAAAAATAAAATAGGGTTTAAATAGGATTATTGATAAATATAAAATACTAAAAAATATAAGTACTTTTCAGTAGATGGCGCTACATATAAAGTCAGCAAATCATAGCCAAAAATTCATACATAGAAATTCAATATTTTGGGGTGGTACGCACGACGTTATCTAAGTTAGAAGTATATTAACGTAACCTGCCGAATTTCTTAGCAATTGGACGAACGGCCTAGGAGTGCATAGCGAACTAACAAATAAACTAACATCATTTTGGTTGTTTTTTGTTAAGTTACGGCAACGCAACACTTGGACGATCTGCCTAAGGGGATGCCTTCCGGGAGGTCTTGTTAATGGTAACTTGCCCCTATTTAGGCGTTACAGAAGTGGAAAAAACCGGGAAGACTCCACATGGCCAGGCGCGAACCCACCACCGAACTCTCAATGTTCAGGGAACGGAACCGCTTGGCCACTGGTGGGCCAACATCTTTTGGGCTGCAGTTTGAAAAAAATTGTAGACCTATAAATTCCCACTATTATCTGTCCGTCCGCCTGTCTTTCTCGAAAACTCGATCTCGAAATCTGATCTCAAAAACTGATGGAAGACAACACTAGATATGGAAACAGCAGAGGCAGGAGGCCCCGGTTAATTTAACTACAGTATATACAAATATACGAACTTCCGATAAAAAACGAAAGTCGCGTTTTC